ATAACGTGTGAAAGATTCATGTTCTTTTTTCATTTTGTATGTTTGACCATCACATGACAATTTAACTGTAAAAAAATTCCCTGCAATTGATTATTAATCAATAAATATTAAGAAATTTCTATAATCTTATAGGTTGCGTCTCCTTCTATCGATAGCTTCTCTACTCTGCCGGATCAAGAGATATCAGACTTCCAGATAGATTCGCGAGATTTGCAAGTGAAAGTAGACAATCCGCAGAAACACCTGGAAACTCTGGAGACCTATATCACATTTCGTATAACGACTAGGGTACGACTTTTTCACAATATGATTCAATTCAATTTCTGATAATGTAAATAATAAAAATAATATTAAATAATTCTGCAGACTACACGTCTAGAGTTTGAGGAAGGAGAATATGTAGTTCGCAGGCGATACAATGACTTCATTTGGCTGCGCCAGAAATTAGTGGATTCTTATCCAACACATATTATACCAGTAAGTTTTCGTTATTATTTTTGATATATAAAATATATATGGTATATAAATTATAATTGAGATACATATGATTGAAATGATATACATCGAAGAGAGGCTAAAAAATTATAAATCTCGGATTTTGTTACAGCCAATGCCAGGTAAGCATACGTTGCTCGCCCAACTGGACCGTTATTCCAAAGAATTTATCATAGCGCGTATGAAGCTTTTGCATATATTCCTAAATAGAGTCGTGAATCATCCTATTCTGAGTTGTGACAAAAATCTCCATATTTTTCTGACAACAAAACCTTCGGTAAGTATGACATTGCTGTAGAATTATATCAACTTTAAATCAATTACTGTTTAAATCAATTACAGGAATTTCTCGTTCATCGCAAAAATCGCGGGAATGTGCTCGGAAAAGTGACAGATTCTTTGCAAAATATAGCAAGTACTTATACGATGAAGCAACGTCACTTAGAGTTCGAACAGATTCGGGACTATTGTACAGCATTGGGTGAAAAGCTGTCGGCCATAGATAAAATTAATCATCGCATACATAAAGAGAGGCAAGGTGCGCACAAAAATTGCTCATAAATATATGTTGTACATATAATAAAATAGTTTTCAGCTATTTTTCATGTTGTACATTGTAACGCAATAGATTATTTATTGGAGCTTCATCAACTGCATCCCATATTCACACTGTGGGCAACTTCAGAACCAGAACTCACACCCATTTTATTAGCAATCGCTAAAGCGGTAGAAGCAAACGCAATGGCTCATCAGAAACTTCTGGAAAACGTTCCTAACGACGAACGCGAGTATGTTTCATACATTGAAGCGGTCAAGAATGCATTGTCCCGCCGTGATTCGATGCAGATTGAATATGAGATAACAATCGATGTATTGGCTAAAAGAAGATTAGAAAAGGATCAGGTACAAGCCTCGCTTATATCTTCCTCTTTTGTAATCTTTTTTTAAGTTAGTTAAAAAGAAAACTTAATATATTTCTAAATATCAATAACGGCTTATAATTATTGATATATATATATTAGGCATAGTAAAAAGAAATCCATTATTTTTGCATGAAATTGGAAAAAATAATGGATTTCTTTTTACTACACCTAATATGTATCAATATATTAGGTGTGGGAAAAAGTTCGTGGCGTTTTTCCCATTAAAAAAACGCCACGAACTTTTTCCCATACCTAATGTATGTATAATACACTACAGTTTTAGATTTTTTAATCTAAGGAAATTAATAAATATTATTTATATTTTTATATTGCTAAAAAGTAGGCAGTTACTTGTATTTTATATTGCTATTTTATGTTGCTAAAAAAGTAGGCAGTTAATTGTAGTTACATTTAATTGCATTTGTGTAGTTGGTAGGAAATACAAATTACACGATTCCGGCACAAGGCTGGGGCGGATCCCTATGGAAAGCGGAATCTCGCGACGAAAAATTGGAAAGACTCGGTCAAGCTATTCCACGATTAGCCAAACAAGCGGAGATACTACAGGATCGCGTGGAGTGCGCGAATGAAAATCTGCGAAGCGATTTTCAGAGGTGGAACGTGGAGAAGCAGCAAGATCTGAAGAACATGCTGATCACGATGACTGATCGACATATCAGACATTATCAACAGTGCATGAACGCGTGGGAGGAAATTCTTACCGGTCTTAAGTTGGACGGAATTGGATCTGACGTTAACGTAGGGCCGCCTGTTAAGATACCCGTTTGAACCGCTAGTCTTTTCGCCACTCAAAAAGGACATAGAATAAATATTCGTTATATATACGAAGGTAATACACCAGTTTAAAAGAATCTCTATTAAATAATGACACAAAGTTTATTATAATCTATAAAATGATCTATCATCAGTTTCGATATCATTGCTTTTAAAATTGAATCGTCATTTTTCGAAAAAGAAAAATTATGCAGTACTTGCGACATGACGCACGCATTTAATGACGATGAAAGTTGCATTTAATGCACATTATAATACGCTAATATCAAAACTCTAAAATTCTGCAAAAATTCGCCTTTATGATACAATAACCTTGTGAATTAAGTATAATGCATTTGGTCCTACACGCATGCAGGACATGTTTCGGTATATATCATGTACAAGAAAACAATTTTCTTGTACATCTTGACGTTCTTTTTTTTTTAGAGGTTTAGATCATCAATTAGTTTTGGGGACCAAAATATATCAAGACAATTATCACGCCTTTCCCTTCGCTCTCTCTTTCTTACTTTGAATCACATTACAATACATTTATTGACAATCAGTTTTGTCATCTATATCTACTAGTTACCAAAGTACAGTAGTTACCATGATAGCGTAGACAGCGTCAATGTATAGTATATAGCACTGGTAAATTTTACAAATCGGAGCAAAACGCTTGCGAGAACTTCGTTGTTAATTAGTACCTTTAATCTAAGTTATAAACGAGTCGCACCGCCCTGAATCGATTTTGCTTAGCAGCAAGTAAAAAAAAAGATGTAGCAAGAATCCTATATGGCTTACACATTCCTTTGTATATCCGTTATTTATGCTCGAAAGGGAAGATACTCTTTGCTGCTCACAGTATTGTTAATAATGCGGAGTACATTTCTCTACATTATACGCCGCGACTCGGCGAGTTGGCAAAAATGGCGGAGTTTGTATCAATAAATAAATTATTGTTTGCAATGAAGTGCGATGGCTCCTGCATCTTTCCTCACTCCATTAAGGCGTCGTTTGTACGTTCTACGTAGTATTCTGGTGTTATGTAGAACTGCACCAGATTGTCCAGATCGATGAGTTTGGTTATAGATTCGCCTGCAACGAACTCGATGTATTTGTTTTCAAAAATTTGATAAATTCAGAAAATACTGACCTGCCAAGCTCATCTCGTTATGAAGAAAACGCACTGTGTGTGCGTATGGTTGTTGAATCTTTTCTCGCAACTGCGTAGCCAAACGACGGGTTGGATTCCATAACTGGCTACGAAAATTCGGTATGTTTGTGATAGTCGGCTTCCAGGATTCAGGTTTTACTTCCTCCATTGGTAAGACATCCGTTATCCTGTATTGGCTCGTATCGATGTTCCATGTGAACTTACATCCGACTTCGTATTGTTTCCTCTCTTGCGGAATACTGGATATATCAATTTATTGAGATTAATTGTTATTGTTTTATTTAAAATGTAATATATGCAAAATTAACGTGCAAAGGAATCAACGAATGTAATTCCTAGGATAGCATGTGTGCTTACCATTGTGTTTGGCTACATAACTCACTTGCTTGGATTTTCATTATATGCAAACATATAATATCGCCGCTAAGCGCGCATACATCAATTATTTCGATATCATAGTCGCTACAATGCCAATATTTTTTCTTGAATCTTGAGCAGATCCAATCTGCTATATGATGAGAAAAAGTCTCGATATCAAAACTCAATTGTGTTATAGAAACGCATGGCACTATCTGAAAGTTTTTCGTTACATCAGAAATACGTTCATATTTTATTTTAAATTATTATTTCATTGATTATATATGGGATGTTCGACAATAAGTAACAGAAAATTTAAAAGTGATTTAAGAAAAAAAGTCTCCGCCGAAATTTTATTATTTTTTTATTTTATAATATTCTCTCTCTCTCTCTCTCTCTCTCTCTCTCTCTCTCTCTCTCTTTCTCTGAAAGTTTAAATATTTATGTAACAATGTTTAATCCATGAGTGTTTAAACATTTATAATTAAAAAACGAAGCCGAATTTGCAATTTCGGTTTTCTTGATTATAATATATATTTATATTTCAATCGTCTAAAGAGATTCGCTTTGTACAAAATTACACATCGAGAAAGTTTAATTTTTTGAAAATATATAATAATAAATATTTACCAGTTTTTCCGCTTTACTATTGCTGATCATCTGCATTTGAACATATCCGGAACCATGCACGAGCATCGGAAGTACACACTGGTAACTTACATACCCCCCTGTTTCTTCATCTACAAGTATTGTCTCAATATAGCACTAATTATAGTAAAAAACATTACAAGCAATAATCTGCAAAATCATATCTGCAAATTAATAATAACAAATCTACAATTTTGAATATATATACCTTCCACATCTGTGATCACCGATATCATCTCATCATCGAGTTCTATGTAGCTCCGTTTAAAACGCGCGGTGCATTTTATCAGAGGATATTGCAAGTTATTTCTAGGAACCAATGGCGAGAAATTCGAGCAACATTTGCTGACGCGATCTCTGTGCACGCTTCCATTAGACAGCTGATTCTGATTCAATGGTCGTAAGACACTTTTTTCAGCTAGAAAATAAACGTATAAAGTTTGTGTCACTTTATTTGAATTCTCATTCCGTTTCGATAATAATTGTGAGATTATTGTACCTGATTCGGTATTCGATAAGTCGTTGGCTATACTAATATCTTGAGCAAGATTTAATTCGTCTGATTCACTCTGATCCGAATCGACCCAATGTCTTCGGCCATTGGGTAGAACCGGCGACATCGCTGGGGAAGAGGGAATCTGATGTATAGAGCAGGTACCGCGATGTCTGAATTGATCGCGTATGTGCTTGAAAGGAACTATATTCTCTGCGTCTTCCGTCTCATCGCAAAACTCGTACTTCTTATCGGCAAGTCGGCGCTTCCTGAATGAACTTAGCTTTTCGCAGGTCGTCTCTTGTGCCTCGTCGGTGAACTCATACGCCTTCTCCGCCTCGAGGATGAGTTTGTGCGTCGCTCTCGTCGTTCTCGTCGATTGAGCCGTGACGGGTGGAGGTGAATGGAGATTCGATCTCTTGCGAGGACTCGGATGGCGAAAGGATCGGGCGATAGGCGGCGACATCAAACGAGACGAATATGAGGATGAGGGACTAATTGATACGGATTGCAACGGTGAGTTTATGGAAGCCACGGAGTTGTCTCGTTGCGACGCACCAGGTTGTGGCGAGCTCGGACGTTGCTGGCTGTTATTGCGTTGGACCTGGATTCTGTGACTAGATTCCGAATTGCGAGTGCGAAGGATGTCCGACGGTGGAGTGAGAATCGGTAACGACCACGTGGTCATCGCTCTGAGATCAGCGGGCAATCTCTGCGGCGTCGAGCGCGGCGAGCATGACGGATGTTTCACTAACGTGATAAGATCGCTGCCGATATTGAGTTCTTGCGATGTATCCTCGCAAAAATCCTGCAGGATCTTGTCCCGTACTGAGATGGCCGTCTGCTCGACGCCAGCCGGCCGCGAGACAGGGCTGCTGCTGCTACTGCTGCTGCTATTTCGGCACTTGCATTCAGTCATGTCCGAGCATTCGCACAACTTAACGTTTAAAGCGCCTGCAGCGGTAGACTTACTATTTATATCACAGACATAGTCGCTTTGATTATTGCTTGAGGTATTTAATAGCAAATCGTGTCCTAGCTTATCGTCTAATTTTATTGGTTCGTCTAGAAAGTCGTGCTCTATGCTGGATTCGCATTTGGGAGATCGATCGACGCATTCCGGCGTGCTCACTTTCTCATCCGAACTCTCATATCGTTCTGTCCTTGTCGAGTAATCCGTCTCCTCGACATCGCTCATGTCTAGCGGAATCGTGTCCGGAACGACGGGATCATGCATAACATTATCCTGTTTATCGCACGCTCTTTGATTCTTCGACTTAGGTATATTTAAATCTACCCTGAGAACATGTAGGAAATTTCCTGTATTGACCACTACGTGATTCCAATAATTCAGACATACTGTGGCTCGAAACTTCGGGTACGGCGAGATGACTTCATAAGTCGTGTGAACCGTAAGGCCATGTTGTAAACAGTTACATCGTACACAGCTATCCCAATTCGCGGCTAATTCTGACAAAGTTAATTTCGATTAATACTATTATAATTACGCTATTGCGAGTATATTTTATATATTATATATATTATT